TTTAAAGATGGGGTTTCACCACATTGGTCAGGCTGATCTCGAACTCCTGACTTCAGGTGATCCACCCACCTCAGCCTCCCAAAGTGCTAGGATTACAGGCGTGAGCCACTGCACCCGACTAAGAGGTGACTTTCCTAACCAATGTGTAGAAATCAATGGAAGGACACATAAACCATGAAAATGCAGGGAAACAAGTCACCTCCAAAGAAAAATGTTAATTCTCCAATAACCCTAATCATAAGAAAATATATGAAATACCAGAATAAGAATTCAAAATAATAATCTTAGGGGAACTCACTGAGATACAAGAGAATACAGACAAGTCAATGAAATCAAGAAAACAATTCATGATTTGAATGAGAAATTTCAGAGGTAGAATGCTAGGTGCAATGGCACGCTTGCAACCCTAGCACTTTGGAAAGCCGAGGCGGGAGGGTCACTTGAGCCTAAGAGATCATGACCAGACTGGACAACATAGTGAGAACTTGCAAAAATAGCTGGATTTAATGGTTTCAAAGAGCTAGAAGGAGGATACTAAATATTCCCAATATGAAGAAATAATAACTGTTTGAGATGATGGATATGCTAATTACCCTGATCTGCTTACCGGGTATTGAAACATAATATACGTATTATGTATATGTATTGAAACATAACTAGGGGGCCGGGCTCGGTGGCTCATGCCTGTAATCCCAACATTTAAGGAAGACGAGGCAGGCAGATCACGATCATCCTGGCTAACACAGTGAAACCCTGTCTCTACTAAAAATACAAAAATCAGCTGGGCATGGTGGCATGTGCCTATAGTCCCAGCTACTTAGGAAGGGCTACTGAAAAAACAAAAATTTGGGTTGGACATGGTGGCTCATGCCTGTAATCCTAGCACTTTGAGAGGCTGAGGCGGGCAGATCTCCTATGGTCAGGAGTTCGAGGCTAGCCTGGCCAACAGGGTGAAATCCCGTCTCTACTAAAAATACAAAAAATAGCTGCGTGTGGTGGTGCATGCCTGTAATCCCAGCTACTCAGAAGGCTGAGGCAGGAGAATCACTTGAACCCAGGAAGTGGAGGTGGCAGTGAGCCAAGATTGTTCCACTGCACTACAGAATGGGCGACAGAGTAAGATTCTCTCTCTAAGGGTGGGTGCAGTGGCTCAAACCTGTAATCCCAGCACTTTGGGAGGCCAAGGCAAATGGATCACCTTGGGTAAGGAGTTCGAAACCAGCCTGACCAATATGATGAAACTCTGTCTCTACTAAAAATACAAAAATTAGCTGGATGTGTTGGTATGTCTGTAATCCCAGCTACTCGGGAGGCTGAGACAGGAGAATTGCCTGAATCCAGGAGGTGGATGTTGCAGTGAGCCAAGATCATGCCATTGTACTCTAGTCTGGGTGACAGTGAGACTCTCAAAAATTAGCCAGGCGTGGTGGCATGTGCCTGTGATTCCAGCTATTAGGGAGGCTGAGGCAGAAGAATCACTTGAACCCAGGAGGTGGAGGTCGCAGTGAGCCGAGATTGTGCCACTGCACTCCAGCCTGGGCAACAGAGTGAAACTCTGTGTTAAAAAAAAGGAAACATCACTGTGTATCCCATAAATATGTATCATTCTTATTTACCAATTAAAAACATTTTTAAAAATATAATCCTTCTAATTTTGCAATCCTCCATGGGTTTAAAAAAAATATATATATATAATCCATGTGGAATCTTCTCCGTGATTACATTTTCAAGTGATTTCTTTACCTGACACCTGTTTTAGCTGCAGAGATAGCAGAGCGCTTGAGTGACCCCTTCAGACCCAAGGTACTCTGACATGCAGGGCCGTAGGACTGGCCTTGAGAGCGTTGTTGGCTGATGGGAGTAGAAGCCACAGAGAGTCTTCCTTTTGGAGGTACTGGAGTCATGACTCCTCCCTTATTGATGGGCTGCTGCTGAAGAGAAAACGCACCATTTTAAAAGCTTGGCCTCTCATTCAGTATTGTCTCCCTAGGCAAACTTCAGAAGAGCATTTCCATTTATCCCTGTGTTTACTCCCTCATTTGTAACTCCATTTGGAATATTTTCCTTCCCTACCACTTCACCTCATCCTATTCTACCCATATGGCTGGCTCCACAATTACCTGCCATTTATTGCTTTGGGGATTCTGCTGTGAAGAGCAATTTCCAGTTGTGGCTGAGTAATGAGTTACAAGAAAGCCTTTCCCAACTGCCATGTACCCAGGCATTCATTCATTTACTTTCCTTCCCTCTTTCCCTTTTCCCTTCCCTTCCGTCTTTCCTTCTTTCTTTCTTTCTTCTTTAAGACAGAGAACTGGGCTGACTGCAACCGCCACCTCCCGGGTTCAAGCGATCCTCCTACCTCAGCCTCCTGAGTAGCTGGTATTACAGGCACCTGCTACCATGCCCAGCTAATTTTTGTATTTTTAGTAGAGACAGGGTTTTGCCACGTTGGCCAGGCTGGTCTCAAACTCCTGACCTCAAGTAATCTGCCTGCCTTGGCCTCCCACAGTGCTTGGATTACAGGTGTGAACCACTGTGCCAAGGTATCCAGGCATTTTCTAACAAGAGACATAATGTAGGAAAACAGTCCCTTGTAGCCAAAAACAGGAAAAAAAGATATTTTTGAAAATATGGAACATTTGAGAACATTATATATAGTTTATTAAACATAAACTTAGGCTGTGTGCAGTGGCTCACACTCTATAATCTCAGCACTTTGGGAGGCTGAGGCGGGAGGATCACTTAGCCCAGGAGTTCATGACCAGCCTGGGCAACATTAGGAGATCCTGTCTCTACAAAAACAAACAAAATCAAACTTAAAGAAACTATTATATATACTTAACATGTTGAATCTACAATTAATCCCACCCCCTCCTTCTATCCCCAAACAAGAGCATTTTGAAGTCCTTTAAAACAAAAAACTAAAGCAAAGAGGGAAGGAAATAAATGCTTGAAGGATTTCACTTAGGGTGTCTTTCTTAGATATCATTAAGGCACAAAGAATATCTTATTATCATTAGTCAAAGATCTGTTGCAAACAGAAGAAATGTTAACTATATTACCTGTCAACTGAGAAATGACAATTGAAATTAATATATACAAAAATAAAAATGTAGGTTAAGAACTAAATACAGGGACTAGAAATAAATATAATCTGGTGGGTCATGCCTGTTATCCCAAAAACTTTGTGAGGCAGAGGAGGGAGGACTGCTTGAGCCTAGCAGTTTGAGACCAACCTGGACAACATAGCAAGACCTGTCTCTACAAAAAACTGAAAAGTAGCTGGGTGTAGTGGTGTATGACTATAGTCCCAGGTTGTAAGGAGGCTGAAGTGGGAGGATCACCTGAGCCCAGAAGGTTGAGACTGCAGTGAGCCATCACTGCACCACTCTACTACCACCTGGGTGACAGAGTGAGACTCAAGTCTCAAAATAAAAAAAAAAAAAAAAAAAGAAAAAAATGGCTGGGCATGGTGGCTTACGCTTGTAATCCCAGCACTTTGGGAGGCAGGTGGATCACCTGAGGTCGGGAGTTCGAGATCAGCCTGACCAACATGGAGAAACCCTGTCTCTACTAAAAATACAAAATTAACATGGTGTAGTGGCGCATGCCTATAATCCCAGCTACTGGGGAGGCAGAAGCAGAAGAATCACTTGAACACAAGAGGTGGAGGTTGTGGTGAGCCAAGGTTGTGCTATTGTGCTCTAGCCTAGGCAACAAGAGCGAAACTCCATCTCAAAAAGAAAAAAAAAAAGAGAGAGAGAGAGAGCGAGAACTTTCTTTCTTTCTTTTTGAGATGGAGACTCACTCTGTTGCCCAGGATAGAGTAAAATGGTGTGATCTTGGCTCACTGCAACCTCTGCCTCCTGGGTTCAGGCAATTATCCTGGCTCAGCCCAAGTAGCTGGGATTACAGGCGCCCACCACCTTTTTTGAGACAGGGTCTCACTCTGTCACTCAGGCTGGAGTGTAGTGGCGTGATCTTCGCTTGCAGCAATCTTCTCTGCCCACTGGCTTCAAGTGTTTTTCCTGCCTCAGTCCCCTGAGTAGCTGAAGGTTAAGACCTTTCTAAGCATTATAAAAAACTCATCCTTAAAAGGAAGACTTGGATAAATTTACCTACAATTAAAAACATTCCCCAAGGCAAGATACCATTAATCTAGTTAAAAGATAAACAATGGAAAAGTATTTATAACAGGTAATATATACCATTAATATAAATAAATAAGAATGGGCAAAAATTGAGAAAAAGCAAATCTACATAAAAATAGCCAATTATAAAATATAAAGAGTTACAACAATATAAGGTACCTTGGGATACAAGTTTTCTATCTTTATATAAATAAATAAATTAGTTAAAATAAATAAATTAATTAAATGTAGGTTTGTATGTATTTCTTTGAGATGGGGTCATGCTGTGTTGCCCAGCCTGGTCTCTGGCTCCTGAGCTCAAGCAATCCTCCCACCTCAGCCTCCCAAGTAGGTAGGATTATAGGCATGAGCTACCACACCCAGATAGGTTTCTGATTTTTTTAGAGGGCCATTTGACAACTAGATCAAACAAGTCTCCCTTTTCTTACCATGAAAGTCAAAGAGAAGCTGTCATGGCCAGAATGATTCTCTTTAGGATATCTGCTTATTGTTGTCCATCACCATCCAAATGAATTAAGCCCCAAATGTGCCAAGAGCAACTTCATCTCAGGTATGGTAAAGTTAATGTAATTGATTTTTTTATTCTCTAGTCTCCAAAGAGAGCATACCAAGTTACACATCTGATAGGGGAATTTCTTAAACATTTAGGTTGGATAGTGTTATTTTAGAACTAAGCTCATTCAGATAGGTCTACCAGGCAGGAGTTACACTAAAAAGTAGAAGAATTATTCGTTTATTCAACACATCTTCTAGGGCAACACTCAAAGTTTATGGTTCAAACAGTTGTTCTTGTTCTGTCCTTCACTTTTACTTAGAAAATTGAGTCATCCATATTACAAAGTACAGAAAGCAGGAGCTTGACTTTTTTTTTGTTGTTTTTGGAACAGGGTCTCACTCTATCGCCAAGGCTGGAGTGCAATCGCACTATCCTGGCTCACTGCACCCTCTGCCTCACAGATTCAAGCAATTCCTCTGCCTCAGCCTCTCCAGTAGCTAGGATTACAGGCATGTGCCACCATGCCTGGCTAGTTTTTTATTTTTAGTAGAGACAGGGGTCTCACCATGTTGGCCAGGCTGGTCTTGAGCTCCTGGCCTCAACTGATCTGCCTGACACAACCTCCCAAACTGCTGGGATTACAGGCGTGAGCCACTGCACCTAGCCTTTTTTAATCTTCTTTTTTGAGAGGGAGTTTTGCTATTGTTACCCAGGCTGGAGTGCAATGGTGCGATCTCAGCTCACCGCAACCTCTGCCTCCTTGGTTCAAGCAAATCTCCTGCCTCAGCCTCCCGAGTAGCTGGGACTACAGGCGCGTGCCACCATGCCCAGCTAATTTTTGTATTTTTAGTAGAGATGGGCTTTCACCATGTTGACCAGGACGGTCCGGATCTGTTGATCTCATGATCCACCCGCCTTGGCCTCCCAAAGTGCTGGAATTATAGGTGTGAGCCACCGAGCCTGGCCTTTTTTTTTTTTTTAAAGAGATGGGGTCTTACGGTGTTGCCGAGGTTGGTCTTGAACACTGGGGTTCAAGTGATCCTTCGGCCTCGCCTTCCCAAAGTTCTGGATTGATAGGTTTGAGCCACTGAGTCAGGTTGAAAGCTTTTTACATTTTATTTAAAGAAAAAAATTTTTTTTTTTGAGACGGAGTTTCCCTCTTCTTGCCCAGGCTGGAGTGCAATGGTGCAATCTCGGCTAACCACAACCTCCGCCTCCTGGGTTTAAGCAATTCTCCTGTCTCAGCCTATTGAGTAGCTGGGATTACAGGCATGCACCACCATGCCTGGCTAATTTTTATATTTTTAGTAGAGATGGGGTTTCACCATGTTGGCCAGGCTGGCCTCAAACTCCTGACCTTAGGTGATCCACCTCCCTTCGCCTCCCAAAGTGCTGGGATTAAAGGTGTGAGCCACCACACCCTGCCTATTGTTTTGTTTTCTTTGAGATGGAGTCTTGCCTTGTCCCCAGGATGGAGTGCAGTGGCATGATCTCCCTGCACTACAAACTCCATCTCCTTGGTTTAAGCGATTCTCCTGTGTCAGCCTCTCAAGTAGCTAGGACTGCTTGTGGTGCCCAACACCACACCTGGCTAATTTTTGTATTTTTAGTAGAGACAGGGTTTCACCATATTGGTCAATCTCTTAAACCCAAATGGTGGAGGTTGCAGTGAGCCAAGATTGTACCACTGTACTCCAGCCTGGGTGACAGAGTGAGACTCCATCTCAAACAAAAAAAAGAGTTTGATAAGCAATGCTTTCAAATGTGGTAACAGTGAGGATGGGAGTGGTGACTCACGCCTGTAATCCCAGCACTTTGGGAGGTCGAGGTGGGTGGATCACCTGCGGTCAGGAGTTCGAGACCAGCCTAGCCAACATGGTGAAACCCTATCTATACTAAAAATATAAAAATTAGCCGGGCATGATGCTAGTTGCCTATAATCCCAGCTACTTGGGAAGGTGATGTGGGCATGATGGTAGTTGCCTGTAATCCCAGCTACTCAGGAGGCTGAGGTGGGAGAATCGTTTGAATCTGGGAGGCGGAGTTTGCAGTAAGCAGAGATTGCGCCACTGTACTGCAGCCTGGGCAACAGAATGAGACTGTCTGAAATAAATAAATAAATAAAATTACAAATACAAACATTAGCCAAGTGTGGTGGTGGGCACCTGTAATACTAACTACTTGGGAGGCTGAGGCAAAAGAATCTCTTGAACCCAGGAGGTGGAGGTTTCAGTAAGCTAAGATCACACCACTGCACTTCAGCCTGGGTGAAAGAGTGAGACTCCATCTCAAATAAAATAAAATAAAATAAAAAAATAAAAAACCTGATAAACAGTACCTTCAAATATGGTAATGGTAGGGATGGGAGTGGTGGCTCATGCCTGTAATTCCAGCACTTTGGGAGGCCAAGGTGTGGTGGGCACAATCTCAACTCAGCTACTCAGGAGGCTGAGGCAGGAGAATCACTTGAACCTGGGAAGCGGAGGTTGCAGTCAGCTGAAACTGCACCACTGCCCTCCAATCTGTGCGACAAGAGCGAAACTCTATCTCCA